TTACAAACCCTCCCCCAGGTCCCCTCCACCATGTAGCCCTTGCTCTAGTCTCCTGTGATGACAGAAATACCTAGTTATATATCTCTAACGATGTGTGTGTGTGTGTGTGTGTGTGTGTGTGTGTGTGTGTGTGATCAAGTCGGAACCAAACTATAGCTGACTCTCTAGTGGGTTCTCAGAAGTAGTAAATCACATGGGAGATTTCCCATCCTTCTCCCATGGAGCAGCAGGTGGATTTGAACCTCATACCTTTGGGACTGCAGTGCAACTTCTTACCAGTAAGCCATCGGATTTCCCTATTGATGTGTATACATTAGAAAAATGATGTACAACACCATACTTGAGGGCCAGTGAAAAATAGGAAGACCTTCAAACAGATGAATTGATAGTCCACCGTAAGGGTTCCAGCAGCAGCAATTGTGAAGATGGCACAGGACTGAAAACTCTTATTCTGTTGTACGTAAGAGAGCTATGAGTCAGAACTGATTTGACAGCATCGAACGAGGCTCATATGTAAAGCATTTGAATTCTGGAGGGTAGGTTCTCTTGATTTAGCTGAAAGTCAGGTGTAAACTGCTTGTTTTTTATTTCATTCACCATCATGTGTAAACTAATGGTCGCCTGGATTTAGTTAACAGTCTGCTGTGGGGCAGAAACTTCTTGTTTAAGTCAATCAGGACCTGGTGGGCAGGCCTTGGTATTTAATAGTTGGTGGGGCCCGAGGGCTAGTGTTGTGCTTGGGGAAGAACATTCTGCTAAGTGGTACAGCACTGGTCTGTCAGTTTGCTGTACTGAAGTAACTGGGGGTTGTGATGCTGAATGCTGTACCACTGGTGTATCAGATGCCATAATAGTTATCCAAGGTTGGCAGGATTTGGTAGAGCTCTCAGATTAAGATAGTCTTGGAAGCAGGATTGGAATCCACATCTGCATCTTAACAGGCCTTTGGAAACTATGAATTCTAGAGAAATGATGAGAGTTTATAGAACAGAGTTTGGATCTTTTGCCTGTAGGGTTGCTATGAGTCATACTTGACTCGATGGCACCTGACAACAACAACAATAACACTGATGTGTAGGAGCTTATGAATAGGACAAACATCAGCATTTTCAAGATAAATTCCAATTAGAATCCCAGTTTTTCGCTAATGCTTTAGCCCAAGTATGGAAACCATTGGCTCTTACAGAGGTGAAGCAGAGATGCTCTGGGGCAGAGCAACTGGGCAGATGCCAGTCAAACTGGGACAGCTGCAGGTTAGCATTCTATGGCATACTTTGAGCACAAAAAGAACTCTAGGAGGAACTGGTCCCCATAGATCTTTCTGGTAATTGTTTAAATGCAGACTTACTGGATCACCTGCTTTGGAGGTGATGTGTGCTGTTGGTCTCAGAGTTGTTGAACTAATTGTAGAGAATTTGGGGGCCTATAGTGATGAACTCTATGCTTCTCCACTCCTTCCCCCCCACTCCTTCTTAAATAACTTTGACACAAAGGATAACGATTCTAAGTGTTATACGATGAAATCAATTTGACAGTCCTGAAAGCATATTACAAGTTATTGAAGAGTGAATTAGTGTTGTTGAGTGATGTCAGCACTGGGATTCTGCGGGTTTGAGTTTCTGAGATATAAAAATAAGGCCACAATGTATTAACAGATGGATGTATCTAGTGAGTGACCAGCCACCCTTTTCCAGGCACATGCTTATGTTGTTCTTGTTATGTGTCATCAAGGTACCTGGGACTCATAGCAACCCTATCTGTGCACAATTGCTCTGGAACCCTGGTCTATCCTGAGCCATTCTCACTATTTTTGACACACCCACCCTCATTCTCAAATCCCAGAACATTTGATTGTGCTTATGCAAAACCTATACTTGGACCAAGAGGCAGTCCTCAGAACAGAGCAAGGAGACATTATTACATGGTTCAAAATTGGGAAGGGGTCCATCAGGAATATATTCTGGCTCCATATCTTTTCAATCTGTATGCAAAACAAATCATCAGGGATGCTGGGCTATATGAGGAGGAAGATGGCATCAGTATTGGTGGAAGATTCATCAACAACCTGCATTATGCAGATGACACAACCCTGCTTGCTGAAACTGAAGCACTTACTGCAGAAGGTTAAGGACTGCAGGCTTCAATACAGATTGAAGCTCAACATCAAGAAAACAGATTCTCACCACTGGGCCAATTGACAGCATCAGTATGGATGGTGAAGAGATTGAGATAGTTAACAGTTTTAGTTTGCTTGGCTCCACAGTCAACACTTTTGGTATCAGCAGCCAGGAAATCAAGAGACGAATTGCATTGGGAAAGTCAGCTGTGAGGGACCTCTCAAGAGTACTGAAGAGCAATAACATCAGGCTGGAGAATAAGGTGCGCCTAATCCAGGCTAGAGTCTTTGCAATTATATGCTGTGCATTGGAGAGTTGGACAGTGACTAGGGAATGATAGAAATAGAATTGATGCCTTTGAGCTGTGGTGCTGGAGAAGAGTATTGAATATACCATGGACTGCTAGGAGAACAAACAGGTTTGCCCTGGAGAGGGTGAAGCCAGAATGCTCCTTGGAGTCAAGGATTCTGAAGCTTTGTCTGACATACTTTGGGCATGTTGCAAGGAGGGACTGGTCCTTGGAAAGGAACATCATGTTTGGGAGGGTGGAGGGACAGCACAGGAGAGGAAGACCCTCGATGAGATGGATCGATTCAGTAATTGGGGTAGTGGGAGTAGATTTATCTGAGACAATGGTTTGGAACAGGATAGAGCAGGGTTTAGGGCTTTTGTACATAGGGTTGCTATGAGTTGCAAGTGACTTGATGGCACATAACAACAACCCCATTACCTCAGTTATTGTGTATTGTGTCAACTCATATTATCCAGAGTGTTCTTATCCTGCACTATACCTCCACTCTTCCAAGCATGATGTCCTTCTCCAAGGACTAGTCCGTCCTGGAAATATGCCCAAAATATATGGATGGAACCTCAAAATTCCTGCCACCAAGGAGCAACTTGGTTTCACCCTTTCCAGGACAGACCTGTTTGTCCTTTGGCAAGCCATGGTATGTTCAGTGCTTTTCTGCAGCACCATAACCCATAGGAATGCATTCTTTTGTCATTCTTTTTTTATTGAGGGTTTGTCATTTTCTTTTTTTATTTAATGGAAGTTTACAGAGACTTTGGATTTCCATTCATTCATTGTTGCACTTTTCTCCATGCCCATCCCTTCCCCTCAATTCGCTTTTCTCTTTGAAAAGTAAGAAAAAATTCTTTCATTGTTATACAGTCCTCTCCCCGCCCCACACCCCGTCCACTCCACTATTGCAGCTTTCATTCCGGCCTCTTGTCATGACAATAACACCTAATCATATATTCCTCCTAAACAGTTCTCTCCCTCATCTGTTTCACTGCAGTATACATTATTTATCCCCTCTTTTCTTAGTTTTCCTGCAACTCTGATGTCAGTCTTACTTTACAACAGTCATTCTTAGTTATTGTCCATTCTCTGATACAAAGTCATGGCCTGGAATGGATTTACCTAGTTTGTGAAGTAGACATCTTTGTTGGTACTGGAAGAGACTACCTAGAGGAGTGTGGGTGTGCAGATCATGGATGCCCCTGGGCCAAGGTGCAGGAGGAAGGCCCTGGATGGGAGGAGTAGAATAGCAGTTGCCAGGTAATGTGCCCAGGTCAGAGTCTGAGAAGCCGAAGATTTAACCCAAGATACAGTGGGGATCAATCTCACTGGGGTCTTTCTGGATTTGAGTCCTGATCCAAGTTGGAGAGATGGGAGGAAAGGGATCATTCCTCCTTTTTATTCATATATTTTTCTGTCCTAAAACCAACTGAAAAGTGGATCAGAAGAATACACTGGAAAAAATGATTAGAAAAGAAGCAGTTTATAGTCACCACAGGAGTGCTGCCACTACCTCACCTACCATGCACTCAGAATACTAAGCCATCAGAAAGCTAAGACCGAATGATTTCTTAGGCCTTACCATGATATTTGTGCATTTGGTCAGAAGGTTCAAGTACGATTATTCAATTTGTAAAAATAAGAATTTATTTTCTTAATTTCAGCTGGTAATTATGAAAATATATGATCTGGAATAATATACTATATACTATATACTATAAAACTGAATTCAATTTATTTCCTCAACTATAAAGTAGACTGATTTCTTCTAAAACCATATAAGACCATAAATATACTATGTGGTCTATATAGGTTAGACATTCATAGCAACAGATGAAAAGTATTTCCACATGTAATATAGTTAGGGCCTTATGGTTAGTCCTAACTTGTGGTTTTAATTTGGTTTTCATTAACCACAAGTTCTAGTCATCTTCTTTTTATGTTTGTTAACAGTTTTATTTTCTTTTTCATTAACTGTCTTTGCTTATTTTTCTGTAGAGTAAGTGATTAACTTACTGGCTTACAAGGGGTTTTTACATGGAAAGACTATTTAACTTTTTATCATATATGTTACATATATGATTTTATCATTCAAAGAAGGAACTCTAATGAATGGTACATTGGTTAAGTGCTTAATTCCTAACCTTAAAAGTCAGCAGGGAGAAAAAGATGACATTCTGCTTCCAAAAAGATTTATAGACTTGGAAACTCAAGGGCCATTTTAGTCTGCCCTATAAGGTCACTGCGAGTGAGAACTCATTAGAAGAAAGTTGACTGTGCTTTGTTTTATTTTTGAGCAATTTATTCAGAAGGTGGCTTTTAAAAGCATCTCCCCACCCCCCTTTTCTTTTTCCTTTTTGAAGAGGAACAGCTAAAATTAGACATGTAATTGAAAGCCGAAAAGAAACTAGTAGCCATAGTAATTCTGAGAAGATGTATCAGAACTGTACTAGTCCAGAACTCACCTTTTACTCTAACCTTGCCAACTGTACACGTTGTAAATAGATAGGATTTGTTTTTTCATATTCTCTAAGCATCTTGGTAGGGAATTCTGGTGGTTTAGTGGTTAAAGAGTTGGGCTCTCAACCCAAAGGCACATCCACCCGTGGCTCCTCCAGAGAAAGATAGTCTCCTCCCATGAGATTTGGAGCCTTTGAAAATCAGCTCCGACTCAATAGTAACGAGTGAGTGAATATCTTGGCAGAGGCAAGATTAAGAAAACAGTTCTCTGTGAAAAGTCTTTCTGTGTCTTTTGCTTATTTTGTAACTGGATTCAGTCTTTTTCTTCTGGAGGCCCAGGAGTATCCTGAAACTTTTGTTACAAGATCCTTGTCTGAGATGGTATTGCCAAATATTTGGTCCCAGTCAGTAGGTTTTGTTTTTGCCCTATAGGAAAAAATTTTGATGTACATATGGATTTAATCTTTACAGGGACCCATTCATCAATTTTTGTCAGTGTTGAAAGGGACTATGGAATCAGTGAAGCCCAGTGATATTTTTCTACTTGTTTATATAATATTGTAGGTGATATGTTGTTGTTGTTAAGTGCCATCGAGTCGTAGGCAATTTATAGCAACCCTATGAAAGAAAGACCTGGACACTTGTATAACTTTTGTCCTTTCTCCAGGTTCATAGGGTTTCAGGAGTCAAGCTATTTCGGAAGTGGATACCACTCCTGCTTCCAAGCTTGTTTTAATCAGGGAGCTCCACCAAACACTGTCCACCATGGGTAACCATTCTCGCATTTGACACATCAGTGTCAGTGTTCAGCTTCACAGAAACCACAAGTTACCTCTGTTTGGCAAGTGGACAGACCAGGGCTATACCACCTTTGGCTTTGTATTATTATACCAAGATGATATTATAAAGTTTTAATTTTTTTGCATAAAAATTCTCTCCTTTTAGGCCAGAACCATACAAATTTCCTGCTGCTTCCACTAAGTACCAACCCATCCCTTCAAAATGCACTGTGAGCACCCAGACAGATTTTCGGGACGCTGACGTTCAAACAGATCCGTATTCTCCGGAATATATAGTGTGTCAGGACTCGATCCCTGAGCTCTTGACTCTGGCTACTCTTACGTGGGGTGAGTTGGTAAATCATCTTACTATTCACAGATGACAGTACTGAAAACACACGTGGTACTGGGGTCTTAGAAATTAAGCACATAGACTCAACTTTTTTGATATTTTCATTCCAAGAAAGACTCCTCTTTCGCTGCCTATTGGCCAGTTGTGCTCTATCCTGAAAGCTAAAGTCCAAGTGTTGTAGTTGCTTATTTTTGTAGTTGCTTTGCTGAATCCTCACCTGCCTCGTCCCATGTGTTTCTAACAGGGAATTAACTCCTTTCCATTGAATGAGCCACATTGTTTAAGTGTATAACAGTGAATGTGCCCTCCTCTATACGTACTAATTTTATTTTCCCAAATCATCTCACAGTTTATGAAACCTTTTTTGCCAAACCTTATTTCATTTGAATCTTGAGCCTCCCTCGTTGTGGAGACTGCAAGAACTAGAGCGGAAGGAAAACATTTTAGTCACCGCTTGTACATAAAAATTGACACCAATTGGTTGCTTTCTTCTGCTGCTGTCATCTCTGAGATGCTAAATACCTTTTAGTCTCAGAAATTCACTCTTAGGATGAAGTAAAATCTTACCTAGACCTTCACACTATGAGAATATGAAAACTAATGAGAAGAAATGTTTTCTAAATTAGTAATTAGCTCCTCTATTTCCTTTGATTGTGGCTGAGAAAACTGAGACCAGAGAAGTTAACTGCCTTATTGAAGGATACAGCATTATAGTTGGTCCACTGTAATGATTTTTTAATTAAAATTAGGATTTTTTTTTTTAAAATACTATTGTGGCAAAAATGTAAAGACCTAAATATACACCAATAAAAGTAGATTACTTTTGTTTCCCCCCACTGTCATACCGAGCTGTTATCAAGACCACGTCACAGACAATAAAGACGTTCAGCTCTGGGCACCAATTCTGATGCTTGCTTCTGGTCTCACTTGAGGAAATAAATTTTGTATTCTTGACACCCGTGAGTTAAAGGAGAGCCTCTACTTTCAGGTCTAGATAATGGACTGAAAATATACTGAAGCTTCGCCCTACTGCACAGGACAAGTAAAGGGAAAACTAAAAATTAATCAACACAAACATTTACTCACTATCATGGATTCCCACTCATTACGACCCTCCATTGGGTTTCCAAGGCTCTAAATCTTAATGGGTAGAGACGGACCTTCTTCCTCAGCGCGGTTGGTGGTCCAAACCACTGGAGACATACAGCCTTTGGGTTAGCAGTGCAACAGTCTATGCCCTCAGAACCCCTTAATAAACACAGCAAAACTCAAACGTACTGCTTCTAAGTCTGAACCGCTTCATAATTGACCATCCAGTGGGTTTCCAAGACTAGAAATCTCAAGGGTGGACATTGTCCAGTCTTTGTGCTGAGCTGATTCATTCAAGCCTTTGGATTGGCAGCATAACTCCTTATCCAGTAGGTCACCAGAGCTCCCTGATAAACTTCTTGTTGTGGTCGAGTACTATCAAGTGTGAACTGACCCACAACTGAGCCTCTAGTGGGTTTTCAGAGGCACTACATTTCATGGGTGGAGATTGCCCATCTTTCTTCTGCAGAGCAGCAAGCTGCTGGATTCAAACCACTGGCTTTAGTTAGACAGCAACAGCTCCTTACCGCTAGGCCACCAGAGATTCCTAATAAACAAATAGTTACACTTAATAACTAGGAGGAAAATCTCCTGGTCTATAAATGGAAATTCCTTTCTAGAACAGAAATATCTAGATGCCTTGATGGTGACCAGTTTATGAAGTCAGCTGGCCTGTGAATAGTTGGAGCGCAGATCTGATTTACTCGCCTGGGCTGCAGAGGAAAGAAAATTTATCCAGGTCGCAGATGGGGCTTCCTGCTTGCAGTTGACAGTGGAAGCTATTACAGGATTTCTCTACTACAATATAGAGGCTTAGTGTTGAGCTTCAGAAGGCTCAAAGCCAAGCACTCTGTTAAGAGACCAGACTGGGCTCTGAAATGTTTCACTAGGGAAGGGGGTGGGGGAAGCCTAATCTGGACACTGCCCCAGATAGAACTGAGGTTCAAATATCAATAAAAGCCTGCATGAATCAGGTCTACTCCTACGATTTGTGGGCCTCTGGTCAAGGATTTAAATGGAGGACCACATGTTGTTGTTGTTGTTGTTGTTGTTATGTGCCGTCGAGTCACTTGCGACTCATAGCGACCCTATGTACAACAGCCCTAAACTCCGCTCTGTCCTGTGCCAATCACACTGTCTCTGACACTCCCATCCCGATTATCCCAGTCACTGAATCAATCCACCTCATAGAGGGCCTTCCTCTCCTGCGCTGTCCCTCCACCCTCCCAAGCATGATGTCCTTCTCCAAGGACCGGTCTCTCCTCACAACATGTCCAAAGTATGTTGTACGGAGCCTCAGAATCCTTGCCTCCAAGGAGCCACCTGGTTTAACCCTTTCCAGGACAAATCTGTTTGTTTTCCTAGCAGTCCATGGTACTCTCAATACTCTTCTCCAGCACCACAGCTCAAAGGTATCAATTCTCCTTCTATCCTCCTTGGTCATTGTCCAACTCTCCGATGCATAACAAGTGATTGCGAAGACCATGGCCTGTATCAGACGCACCTTAGTCTCCAGAGAGACACCATTGCTCTTGAGTACTTTAGAGAGGTCCCTAACAGCAGACTTTTCCATGGCAATGCGCCTTTTAATTTCCTGGCTGCTGGTGCCAAGACTGTTGACTGTGGAGCCAAGCAAGCTAAAGCTGTGTACAATCTCAATCTCTTCACCATCCATCCTGATCCTGCCAATTGGTCCAGTGGTGAGAATCTTTGTCTTCTTGACATTGAGCCTCAATTCATATTATAGGCTGCAGTCCTTGACACTCTGCAGCAGGCGCTTCAGGTCTTCTTCAGTTTTAGCAAGCAGGGTTGTGTCATCCGCATAACGCAGATTATTGATAAATCGTCCACCAATCTTGACCCCACATTTCTCCTCATAAAGCCCAGCCTCCCGGATAATCTGTTCTGCATATAGGCTGAAAAGGTATGGAGATAGGATGCATCCCTGGCGTACGCCCTTCCCATTTTTGAACCATGCAGTGTTCCCTTGCTCTGTTCTGACGACTGCCTCCTGGTCCAAGTATAGGTTTCGCCTTAGAACGATCAAGTGTCCTGGGATTCCCATTCTTCTCAGAGTTAGCCATAGTTTGTTATGATCTACACAGTCAAATGCCTTTGCATAACCAATGAAACACAGATATACATTCCTCTGGTATTCCCTGCTTTCAGCCACATACAGAATTATAAAATCAAGCTAGCACCTCTTTAAAAAGAGATTCTTTCTTCTTCAAAATTGTGTCTTTTTAAGACGCTAAGAGGACAAATTGAAATTTAAAATTCTTAGACATACTGGGACTCCACGCTAAACCGTGGTGGCAAGGGGGAGCCTGCCTCTGTTCTGCCCCTTTCCTCATCCCACCTCTGCTCCTGCTCCAGACCATGAGGAACCAGGCATGCGTGCATGTGACCGCTTGAGCTTGCTTTCTGTGATTCACACATTTCCTGCCACCAGATGTTCCATGGCTTCTCTCTGAGTTTACTGCTGTTAGGTGCTGTCAAGCTGACTACAGCTCATAGCGACCCTGTGAACAAAAGATCTGAACCTTGACCTGTCTGTCCCGTGCACCATCATTATCGATATCTGTACTGCAAGCCCATTGTGGTAGCCACAGTGCCAATCCATTCCATTAAGGGTCTTCTCTTTTCCTGACCCTTTACCTCTCCCAGCATGATATTGCTCTCCAAGGATTGGTAACTCCTGAAAAGATAACAAAAGTAAATGAGACAAAGTTTTACCAGCGTTGCCTTCAGGCAGCACTCTGGTTACACTTCTTTCTTTCTTTCTTATTTTGGCAGTCCATGGGATATTCAGTACTCTCTGCAACATTATACCTCAAAGGCATCAATTATTCTTCTGTCTTCTTATTCATTGGCCAACTTGAAGATGTATAGGAAGCAACTGAAAATATCTTTGGGCTCAGAGATACAAAAAACAGCAACACAGTCTACTTTCATGAGTCTGAATCCTGATAAAATACTCATTTAGACTTTGGAATTCTGGGCCATTTGTGAATGGATTTTACGTGTCTCTAAAGATGAGGGTAGCTCCAGGTGGGCAGGATTCCATGGACTTTTCAGTACTCACGTACAAGCAAGGCTCCAAAGGATGAAGTGTAGCAGAATGCCTTCTTTTCAGGTTTAAAAAACAAAACAAAACAAAGCAAAAAACATGTAGATTATCTCAATTTAAGAATAATAAATCATCTTAGGGCCACAAATACCAACTTCTTGTTATGTACTATAGAGTCAGAACTGACTCATAGTTGACCCTCCAGCAAGGAGGAGATTGCTCATCTTTCTCCTGTGGAGCAGCTGATGGATTTGAACTGCATACCTTTAGGTTGGTAGTATAATTGCTTATCACTAAGCCACCATAGGTCACTCAAATACTAGGAGTGCTCTACAAAAGAGTGAAAGGATTCTGAGAGTAACTTCCTTAGAAATAGACCAAATAGAATATTTTGAAAAGTATATTTTTATATCATCGGAGAGAGAAAGGGAAAAATAGTAGCAATGAAAGTAAGAACGGAGGCTATAAAAAAAATGGAATCATAGGAAGTATAATTCAAAGCAAATTAGTAAACTGGAAGATTGAATGAGTATTCCAGAATGCAAGGTGCACAGGATTATAGTGTTTAATAGGGTGCAGTGAACAAGTAGGAAGCCAGCTGTCGCATCTTACTTTCATTTTCCACTCTTGGTCCCAGAAAGATGATGTGGTAAATCAAGGCTTCACTTAGACGTGCCAGCCACCTGAGTGTAATTTGGTCCAGGAAGGCTTAAGGTTGGATCTCAGTCAATGTCTCCCGACTGATTGGGAGATAGAACCTAGAGCCTTTCCACCAGGAGGTCTTTATGTCTCACAACTCAGAAAGCTGAGGAAGACTAGCCTTCAACTGTACATTTTTTATAGGGGACAAAATCCCCTTCATTATCTGCTGTAAACTCACCTGTTATAGTTTGTTTTTCAGCTTTGTCCCTCAAACTTCCAACTCCTCATCACATTTTCTCACTTTGTTGGAACCAACCTCAAGTGGGTTTTCAAAGGCAGTAAGTCACACAGTAAATTGCCCATCCTTTTCCTGAAGAGCAGCTGATGGACTCTAACTTCATGCCTGTGGGCTGGCAGTGCAATTCCTTACCACTTGGCCACCAGTGCTCCCTTTCCCCACCTTAGAACTTTGATATTTCTCCATATATCATAACTTAGATTTGCTTAAAAAAAGGACTTTCAAGGTATGATTATTCACACTCAGTAGTCTTCAAATAGTTTCCAGCCTCATGTTTGTTGCTAAAATATGGAGCTCCAGATTGGACTCTATGAAAATGGGAGAGAACAGTTTAATAGTGATATAAGATTGGGTATTATTGTTAGGACAAGAGTCCAGAATGAAGGTTGCATAGTAGAGCGTACTCGGGGTGGGGTGGGGATGGGGGATTGTATACCAATGAAGGAATTTTTCTTTTACTTTTCAAGAGAAGAGTGAACTGGGGGGGAGGGGTGGGGCAGGAAGAAAAAAAGCAACAATGAATGAGTGGAAATCCAAAATCTCTGGAAATGTTCATTAAAATTAATTTTAAAAAATTAAAAAGAAAATAGGTCTCCCGGAAAAAAAAATATAGTATGGCTTCATTACTAACAAGAAGCAGTGGAAGGGACACATAAAAAAAGCTGTAAGGCACATCAGACAGTTTCTTATTTAACTTGTCATAACCCTTAGATTTCCTGTGTATTTGGTGAGATTCACATATGTAGTTACAGTTGATGGTGTTGACTCAAGGGCACCTAATGACAACTCTTGACATTTTAGAGGGTAGGATCTAGAAGCAAGACTATTATTATTCACTTGTCATATTTTCTTTGTAGGTGCAGGAGTTCCGTTATTTGTGTGTAAAGTGTTCTTACTGCTTTATCCTCAGGTCGAGGTCTCCCAGCAGGACAAGCTGAGGTGGAGATGATAGAACGGGCCCGAGAGAAGCGCATTTGGGAAGCCACCCTTCCAGCTCTGAGTGACACTGCCGAGTTTGAGAAGAGGAGGAGGATGATGAGCGAGATGGAGAAAAAGGAGTGGGCCTTCCGAGAGCAGGAGATTCAAAAGTAAGTTTGCAACAATGAATGAATGGGGGGAAAATTAAATGGGAAAAATATGCTGTAAAAAATATATATGTTGTATTTAAAAAAAAAAATTAAAAAGAAATTCACTAAAAAAAAAAAGAAACCCACTGAAGTGTCAGTCAGTTCTGACTTAATAGCAGTGACTTTTACTTGGAATTTTGATTACTAATAAACATTCTTTTAATGTTAAAAAAAAGTAAGTTTGCAATCAGTTGAGACTATTCTTACACTGGTAAGAGTGATGGTAGTACTTTTTAAATGGTAATACACTTTTCCATGCCTCTAGAAACTATAAACTTTAAGAAATGACAATAGTTGTAGAAAGTCTTCAGGTCTTTTGTTCATAGGGTTGCTATGAGTCATGCTTGACTTGAAAGCAATCAACAACACACTTTTCTAGAAATATGGGTTTAAAAGCTGTCCTCAGCTTGTTGAATTAGAAAGTCAGGCTTCTGAGTCTGTCCAGAGTAATCCTAAATTTATGATGTGGTATAAGGTCTTGCTACAAGTTGCCATATCACAGTCACTTGTGGTTGCTGTGAGGCTGAACACTGTGACACTCATGTGTCAAATGCGTTAATGGTTGGCTACCCAATGCGGACAGAGTGGGGTGGAGCTCCCCAATTAAAACAAGCTTGGAAGGAGGAGTGGCATCCACTTCCATAATAGCTTGCCTCCGGAAACCCTATGAACCTGGAGAGAGGATGAAAGGCACCCAAGCATCAAGGACTCTCCTTCATAGGGTCGCTATGAGTCGCCTGCGACTTGACGGCACTTAACAACAACAACATAAGGTCTTGCTACAGTTTTCTCAATTCCGTTAGAATGTGTAATATTCTTTCTTGTGGAATGAAGATCACTAGATTTCCTTAAGAGATCCCCCTTCCTCTTTTTATATCTCTTTAGTATTTCTCTATACTCTCTCTAAAATGTGAAAAATATCTTTTGGATTATCCCTTCCTGTTTGTTCCCAGTGCCACTGACCTAGGCCCTTATTTTTTTCCTACCAAACAGCCTCCCATCCCAGCTGCTCTTGCATCTTCTACCTCATGCATTGGGTTCAGTCAGCATGCTTTGGGTTCTTTTCTAGAGCTGACATAGCACTTTCTATTTAAAAGACAAATTGTGGAATTCTTCAACCAAGACATGAACTTACAGCCCATAAATAACGATCTGTTTCAATATTTCTGGTTGTGTTTTCAATTATTTTAACTGATAATATTCTCAGTAATAAGGTTGTCACTGGAAGAGTATGTATAAATTATGAGGAAAAAAAATTGTGTCAATCTCTAGCAAGAAAGAAAGGAAGGGAACTTGCCAAGATTGTCCTTTGCTCCAGGCTGTGCTGAGGTGCTTTGTTGCTAGTTGTGTCATTACCAAGGCCTTAGCAGTGTGCTTTGTATCATATAGCTGAGAGTTATGGACTTGGTTCTTTGTCTTTTTACAACACCTGATTAACTTTCAATCTATACTCTGTGACATTTGGCAAAGGAGGTGTCAGAAATCCAACTGAATGTGCAGAAATTTACAACTCTTTGATGGAATTTGGAGAGAGATGTGTCTTCTGAGAGGGACATTAAAAGTAGTAATAATGCAGCTTGCTAGAGCAAAGGCATCATTTGAAAAAATGAATATTTTCTTATTACAGTGAGTGGCTCCTGTGTGTTAGCTCCTAGCTGTGAGTTGTGGAAGCTGTGTATGTTCTGATACATCTTCTGATCCTGGTGGGCACGGGATGGGTAGCAGGCCTTGAATCCAGACACTTCTTTTGTAGGCTGGATCAGAGTAAATGCTACTATATACACAAAGTGCTAGGAGAAGGCAGATGGGAGAATGTTTAGTTCTGTCTGGGGTGAGTGGAGATTTGGAAAATCTACTGAGAAGAGGTAGCCTCTGGCTGGATATTGCAGGGTGAGTGGGAAGCTATTAATAGATGATATTATCAGTGAGGATAAAAAGTCTAATACTTACATTGATTACTGCATGCTAGACAATGTTCTCAAGCTGTGATTCAAAGAAAATGGTCTCAGAGCAGCAGTGTCAATGTTGCCTAGAAACTTGTTGTTGTTGTTATGTGCCGTCGAGTCGTTTGCGACTCATAGCGACCCTATGCACAACAGCCCTAAACCCTGCTCTATCCTGCGCCAAACGCACTGCCTCTGA